TCGCCGCTCAACCCTCATCACCGGCGCCTTTCTCTCGCCTCAACCGACAGTCCCCATCGTTGACGTATTTCCCGCTCAACCATCGTCGTCGACGCTCTCTCCCTCAGTCCCCTCGCTTTTCCGGGCGATCCAACCCCACCGGCCATTGGCACCCATCACTCAAACTGGAATCGGAATCAGAGGAGTAAGTTTTGATTTGATTTAGTTTTTTCTGCTTCGACCTTCAACGATGTTAGTTTGGCGAAAACCCACCAACTGAACCGACAATTTGGTCGGTCAGTTACATGTACAATGGTCAATCGGTTGGTTTCCATTTCTCGAAACCTACCGTTTGTCGGTCGGCGTTGATTTTTGCCCAATAACCGACCCGACCGACCGATGTACAGTCCTATTAAGTACCACTGATCCTCTAATGAACAACCCGGTTATGGTCCGACCAATAACCGGAAGTCCCTCTCAGGCTAGTGAGAGGATGGGTCCCCTTGTTCAAGTCCCGAAGTCAGCACTAAAGGGAACACTCATCTACTCCCTTAAAGTCGGGATGAGTGAATGTCATCTTGTGAAGTTATGTTCCCAGCTCCCCACTCGGTCTCGTCCCCAAAATGGTAGGAATGTTGAGTCGGCGACTCGGGTCACTCTCATCCATACAGATCAAAGGACGAGCTCTCACGGGCAGGAGTCCATAACTCACTCAGGATTGAGAATAAATTGTCTGGTTATCCTATGAAATAGCAATCTGTTAGTCAATGACGTTACATCTAAAAATTGACTATTTCACAGTCTGATCTTAGGCAAACTCAATGTATAGATAAGGTCGTTTGTAACATTTACAAAGTGGGTCATATCCATAGTTTTGTAAAGATAAGGTACCCAGCCTCATCCATATACTATAGACCCTTTAGATTATTCCCGAGACATTATCCACTTATAAACCGAGGGTATATCAAATATATACCCAGTATATATACTGTCTCGGTTACATGATAGTAACCTTAGATGTTTAGTTTATTGGATTCAGACAATACAATGTTGTAAATTCAACAACAATTCGATTGAATAAGAAAACATAACTTTATTGAATATTAATTTGTTTTTACATAATTACAAACTACGAGTTTAGGGCAACACACCTAACAAGGATGACCCCTTATTTTATAATCAGGGTGACCGGAAACTCAATGGGATGTGTACTGGGGCAACATGATGATTAGGATAGAAAAGAATAGGCCATATATTAGTTAAGTAAGAAGTTCACCGATTGCGAGACTAGATACTCTATAGTAGAAAGAACTTGTTGTGCTTTAGCTTGGATTGTCCGATGTCTAAGACAATACATGTTATGTTATACAACATGAATCATTTCATAAATGGACCCCATAAATTACATTGTTGAAAAGTCGTCTCTCTCAAGTCGATTTGCAAAGTGGCAGGTTCTCTTGTCCAAATACGACATTATTTATGTGACTCAAAAGACCATTAAAGGGAGTGCTCGAGCCGACTACCTAGCTCAACAACCTATAAATGACTATGAATCAATGAAATTCGACTTCCCAAATGAGTATATTTCCACCATAACCACCAAGTAGTTCTAGCCATCTAAACTTACACCCTGCATGAATCCAATTTTAGATTCCTAATAAAAAAAATCTTTAATTTTAGAGATTGAAAAAATACTCACCTAAACCCAAAGTGCTGAAGAAATTTCAGACCTACAAACATGGACCATGATGTTTGATGGTGCTTCTAACAATTTAGGTCATGGGATAGGGGCTATATTGATATCACCTAAAAACTGTCGCCGCCAAGTTATGTTTTGACTGCACACATAATATGACTGAATACTAAGCATGCTCTTTGGATGTCCAAGCTGCTATTGATATGAAGGTAAAAAAAACTCAAAGTTTTGGGAGATTCCATGCTGGTAATTCATAAGTTAAGAGGAGAATGGAAAACAAGCGACGTTAAGTTGTGGTCCTACAAGTAACTCATCACAAGACTGTCTCAAGAGTTTGATGAAATCTCATTCGATTATTTCCCAAGGGAGAATAATCAAATAGTAAATGCATTGGTCATATTAACAGTTATGTTCAACATAGAACTCAATGAGGAGGTCTGAACATGGAAGATGAACCCGATGAGAACCCTTGGTTTCATGATATGAGCAGTATATAAATAACAAGATCAGATCTTGGTCTGGATCCAGTGGTTCGCAGAATTTGGGATAAGGTTAACATACCAACTCAAATATATGTACACTCATGGTTAAGAGCTGGAACAAACACTATAGTTACCTAAAAGAAAATAGAAGAAGAGGAGAAGAAGTGTATGTTGTAAAATTAAAAAAAAAATGTATTTATTGAAAATCATATTCTATTTTGACTTAAAAATAGCAAACCTAAAAATGAAAAACTTAAAAATAGCACGGAAGTTGGTCTTCTCCATAAGTTACTTCTTTAAACAATTCTAAAAGAATTGGTCATTCTCGACAAAGCCAATCAGGTCGGACCACCCAACCCAACGAAGTTGAGCTAACCTGACTCGATCGAGCCAGTTCATTGAACTAGACCCCTACTCGATTGAGGCAGTTCAATTAAGCCGACCTTAGGAGACTTTCCTTATAAATAAAAGAAGAGGCTTGAAGCGTAAGGTAACTTTCTACAATCCTACTTTTTGCTACTCTTAGCTAATTAACCATTTGTCTTACTTAGGCATTAGACTGCATTAGGCATAGCACCACACCGGTGTGCACATATATTTTGCGTGCAGGTATTCGATCGTGTTGAGTATTCCATGTTGGAGCTTGAATTATCTTGCACCAACATAACACACGACAAAGTCTTTGCGGCTTCACATTACCCAACGCAAGCCCACATGGCCAGTAAATGCATTCACACTAAAGTGCTTGCCCAATCTTGTGCACATGCAAGCCCCATGCGCCAACCTTTGAAGTAATCTTGCTCAAGCCGAAATTCTTATATTAGCTCATCATTGGGTTAGGTTGGGCTCGCTTCACTAAAGAAGTGAAGACCTAAGATCGACTCAAACCTGATAGGCCTAGTAGACCTAAAGCACTATTTGGATATGTCTTGAGTCGACCTAATGTCCAATAACTAGGCCCCGACCCAACTCATGTGCTTGGTTCATTGAATTAAACTTTTAATCTAACTTGGGGCAACCCTTCGTAATTAATTTTTATAAAATTATTTTAAAATTTTTTAATCAAAATTTATTAAAATCGAGTAAACTGATATTTTTTATTTAATATCATTTTATTTTATTTTTTGAAAATTTTGTTAAATTTTTGTCTACGAAAAAATATTAATATTTTTTAAATGTTTTATTTTTAATAAATCTTTTAATAATTTTTTACACACTAATTTTTTTCACACACTAATTTTTATAATTAACTACAATATTTAAAGTATACAAATATAAACAACTTAAAAAGTTTAATTGTTATATATATATGAGGACCAAATTAAACATTTGTTGGACGACCTAACAAGTAAATATGACTCGCATAGGCCAAATCAACCCGCAGAAGAGTGATCCATATTCAATCCATCAAACTTTGACTTTAGACTGAATTAGGACCGACCTTTGGGCTTCAGGCTCTTTTATGAGGTTGACGCCTATGTCGCCTACACAAACCTACATGTGCATAGCGTACATGACATAGACGTCAGTATCATTGGCATAAGTATATCTTCAATGCACATGCCCTTGCTTGCTCATCCTCGACGTAAGTTCATTGCCTCATGCTCAGCTATCACGTGCCCACATTCCACGCATACTACTTGCTTGCATGCGCATACCCTTACTGGTAGGTTCAGCTATCACGTGTCTGCGTTACGTTGCACCCATTACTTACTTGTGTAGGCATGCCCCAATTGTTTCCAACCTTTTTGCCAGTTACTTTATTTTCTTATTTTAATTAGGTATCTTGTTAGAGATTTTCCTCTTTTTTTTTTTTCATGTTTTTGATAATATTAAAAAAAATTTAGATATTTTTAATAGTTGGGAAAACATTTTCTTTCTTAGATATTTAGGATTATTTTATTTCCTTTAAAAGTTATGATTACATTTTGGACTATTTCTTTTTTATTGTTGAATTCTAATAAGCTATTCATAGTCAAGTTTAGCCCATTTGTATAACATTTGATTATTGACATCGAGTCTTTTGACCATTCATTTACTAGAGAGCATTGAACTCCATCATGCAATTCTAGTACTTAGATTTGTATTGTCATAGAAACATTCTAAAGTTTTTTTTTTCTTTTTTTTTTTTAAACATAGAAACATTCTAAAGTTGATTCGTCAAGTTTGTGAAGTATTTTAACGAATGATTTTGTTTTACATCACCATATCTAACTTAGTTCGTTGAGTTGAACAAAGGTAAGAAAGATTTAGAAGATTTGTAATGGGCACCAAAAATATTTGTCATGTTTATAAATATAGCATAAACTTTTGGGTTTTGCAAATATGACAAAATATTTAAAATCTTGTTTTTTTACTTTTTAGTTATTTTGATTTTAACCTTCAAGATTTTCAGATATATCAATAGTATATATATCATATGTATCATTGGTATATCACATTCATCATTGTTTGAGTTTCGGGTTCATTCAAAGTATATTGAACTTTTGTCTTATTATGCTTACAGATTTTACATTCTTGCAAATTTAAAAAATGGTGGCTATTTTTACAAGTTTCTATTAATATTTTTGCTACAGCTCCAAAAATTTACTAGATTTGATAATTGAAACTTTTAAAAGGTCTGAGATAAAATTTAAATTAAATATAAATAAGAGACCAACAAAAACTAAGTCACACGTTTATAATTCAAACTATCATTAACTACTATAATTCAAACTATCATTTCGTCAAAACGAGTGCAGTTATACGATAATTGACATCTTCGACGAAGAAATTGTGAGTCGAATCCCAACATCCGCAGTTGTACGAGAAAAACTACTAATATCTCTACTAACGGGAAGTATTCTAGATTTTTATCTCATCGGATTATGAATTTAACTTCTTTTCTTTGTAAAATTTCAATGTTTTGGATCTATTTCATTGTTTGTTACAAAAATTTCCCAAGTTTTTAGCCATCGCTAGTGTCAAGGAGATCGTAGTCCAACCCATTTCGAGGAGAAGTGTCTAAAATTAGTCAAAAACTAGTTTAGAATTTAGGAAGAACACACCGCGATTCAAATCGCTTTCATCAATCGTCGTCGACCCATAAATAATTCGTATCGATTCGTCTTCCACATTCATCGCCTCTTTCTTCCCCAATTTCTCTGTCATTCAATTCCTCATCATTTCGTCTTCTGGGAAAACCACGGGACAGAATTTCTGGTTTTTTTTTTGGTCATACTCGATTGAATTTCGAAGCTGCTCGGGATTAAGGTAATAAAATCGTTCATTCTTGCTATAATAGTTCCGTTGTGTGTGTTTGTACATCAGGAAATGAATCTAGAATTTGATGTTTATAGCTCTGCGTTCATCTATGACTGCATTATTGATCAGGAAATTGGAATGATTTCTGGCGTGTTTGAGAGGATTAGTTTGCTCAACATCAGAAAATTTGTCGTTTGAATGGCTTTTGTATGGGAAGGGATTCGAGTTGGTCAAGTTGTAGGACCCTTGTTTTTGATCTAGGGAGATTGGTATGTTGTTTTATTTGTGAAATGATATGGGATACATAATGTCACATGCAACAGGGTGTTCATCCTTTTGATTGCAAAGTGTGGGGTTATCTGTACCAAAACTTTTGGTATTTATATTGTTCAAAATGTGGCGTTGTCATGGGATGATCGAGTCGTTTTGGATTCACTATCACAGAGTACAAGTTGTGTGGCACGATACGTTTGTCTTTTTTGCTGTTATATGTGTATTTGGTTGCAAGGAGACATGAGAGTTTTCATGGACCTAGTTAGTGAGAGGAGGTCTCCTTCCTTTTGATTCACACATCTGATTCTTTTATTTGATTTCTGTTCTTTTTTGTATTCCTTCTGTTGGTAGGTCTTTATTATTTTATTTGGTCTCTCTTTGTATATCTTAACCAAAATTGGTTTTTCTTAAAATTGTCAATTATTGTAGCAGAGTTACTAACTTGGATGGCTGAGACAGGCTGATTGGTTTGGATGCTTGGCTGTGTGAAGCTACCTAGGATTCTTATGACGAACACTGCAGCCACAAATGAGCTGGATTCATTTTATCCAGTTAGACCCGAGTGCCAAGCAGATATTCCGAAGACCCGTTTTAAGATTAAGGTATGAACATCTCTAAAATCTTTTCACCAATTTAAGGTAGAAAATGAGAAGAAATCTTCTTTTTGGAATGTTATATGTGTTGGGAGTTAAGCCTTTACCCCTTTGTTTTGCTTGCATTTTCGATTTATCAGAAAATATAGAATCATTGGTTTTTGGTTTTTGATTTTTGGGATGAAGAAACAAGATCTTGGAGGATTATCATAAGAAGAAATATTTGTGGGGGAGAAAATGAGAGAGTTTTATGGTCTTTTGAAAGTTATAGAGGGGCAGCCAATTTAAAGAAGGGACCTAAGAAGCACGAGACGAACACGCGACACGTATACGACACAGACACATTAAAAAAAGTAGGACACGACACGTTGGGGACACGTTAATTTTTTAAAATGATTTTTAATTATTATTTAAATAGAAATTATATATATTATATATACGCATAAAAGAAAAACTAACTCTAGCTCCAAATTTTCTCTCATAATAAAGAAGACTCTATTTTCATCTTTGATTTCCTCTTCCTACTTCATAATCTAGCCCTAGTGTTTATCTCTTTCATCACAACCTGCTACCCTCCTACTTCATTTTTTTCTCGCCTCCTTTCCTCTCATCCTTCTCCTTTCTCAACATCGCCGCCTCTTCTTCATTCTTCTTTATCTTCTGGGAGGTATCTCCTCACAACCTTTGATTAATACTCAAGCAAAAGAGCCCATAGGCTTACAAACTCACCCCACCAATTCGAGAGGGTGGGTAACTCTCCCTCCTAGCCAACTTGCTATCTCCTAACAAAGAAAAACTGAATGAAAAAGTATCTCTTCCTACCACTCCCCTATAATCGCTCGGCCCTCACTCCCATGTGATCCCTGGGCCCCACTCTCCTAACAGTTTATTCATTTCCTTCCCTCCCCAAGATAATTCCCTTTTTACCCCTCCTCTTGTAAATATTAACTATTGGGGGCCTAACATCTTCTTCTTTGTTCACCTATCTTCTATAAGTTTTGGGAGTACGTGACTTTTGGTTGATTTTTATTTAGTTTCTAGAGAAGAAAAAAAACCCCTAGCTTGGTCTTCAGTTGATGAAGAAGAAATAAGAAAACTAGGTAAGAGGGAAAAAAATAGAATGGGGAAGTGGAGGAGAAAGATCAAAAAGAAAAAAAAAAGGACACTCACGTGTCCCAGACGTGTCCCCTGTGTCGGATTTTTTAAATTAAAAAAATAAAAAATTAATTTCAGACATGTGTCGGACGCGTGCCGGAGCGTGTGTCGGACACCGACACTTCTTCATTTTGACCGTGTCCGCCCTACCTAGGAAGGGACGACAAGAGAAGATGGAAGTTGGGTATTCTGGAATTTTTTTTTCAGTAAACTCACTTGTTAGAGTTTAATTATTTATTTATTTATTTATTTTTAACTTTTAATTTTTTAATATCATATCATGAGTGTGAGGTGGGGATACGGATCTACGCTCCTCTTACCCTCTTAGAGAAAGTAGAGATTCCTTAACTACTGAGCTATGTTCAATTTTGGCGAGAGCTTGTTTTAGCACCTTGTCTCCCAAAATTGTTTGTCTCTCAGCTTTGTGGAAGTCAAAGAGTCAAAGGAAGGTGAACAATTTATCTTGGTTTGTCTTCTTGGAAAGTCTAAACAACATGGCTGGTGGAGTTAAAAAATGTCCTTTTTGGTCCTTAAATCCAAGCTGCTATATTTTGTGCATTAAAGCTGGGGAGGGCCTTCTTCACTTGTTCTTTCATTGTTCCTTTAGTAGGTTATGGGAGGTTTTGTTTTAAGGCTTTGGTTGTTCTTGGGTTGACCACAAGGCTGAAAAGAATACGTTCCAACTCCTTTGTGTCCATGGCTTAAAGTGGAAAGGGGAAAGTTTATGGATTAATGTGGGCAAGTCACTATGCCGAGTATTTGGGGAGAAAGGAATCAAAGTTTATTTGAAGGAAAACAAGCTCTTTGGGAGGAAAGTCTGCAATTACTTCTCCTTTGGTATTATTTCTTTTATTGGGAAGCTTTCTTTTAGGATTTTGTTTCAGATTGCCAAGTTTTGTGTTTCTATTTCTTGATCTGTTGGAGATCTATTTTTTCTCAGTTTTAGCTTTGTAACTTTTGTAAATATTAATGGAAAGTTTCTTTGTGAAAAATATAAAATATAAAAAGAAAAGATCAAGAGCTTCTTTATTCTATACATATTCTATGATGCTAATTCCAATATTTTATACATACTTAAAATTTTATCAGGTAGGGGCCAATATTTTTTGTTTCTAATTATTGCTGGTTTTCACTCTTAGGATTTTATCCTCCTCGTGTAAGACTTCAGCTAGTTTAAGTATACTATAATTTATATGCATTCAACTGTTTTTGTTTTGTTATGTCTGCAGCCGGGGAAGACTCTAAGTGCAAGAAGATGGGATGCAGCATTTTCTAAAGATGGTCATTTGGATATAGCTAAAGTGCTAAGACGAATTCACCGTGGGGTATATATATTTATTTAATAACAACAATGATATGATCTCAACCTTGTTTGCATCACGCTATAAGTGGTTGTTATTTAGCATTATCTGTTTAAATAGTGCACCATAAAATTTTCACAAGCACCATGAAGACAAAAATCAAGTTCAATTGCTATTTTGCAGTAAATTACTCTATCGCACTAACATTATATATTGCTGAATTTCTACTTCCTTTTTAAATCAATTGTTCTATGAGATTTTTTTGTATTGTTAATGGAGGCAGAACTTTTTGCTTATTGAACTTGCTGGGGGCTTCATCAGGTGCATTACCTTTTTATGGTGTGGTTGGGTTCAAAGTTCAAATTTGAAGTTATGATATCATTTTCACCAAGTTATTAAATATGTTGGTGGACAGGGAGAGGACTGAAATACAGGAATAGGGGAGAGAAAGTGGGGGACGGGGTTGGTTCTACCATACCCAATGCTGAGAAGCTTCCAATTTATAACGAGTTTAAGTAATTGGGTTCTATTTGTAGGGTCATGTAGGCATTGACTTCGCTAAAATATGAGTCAATTGGAAATTCTTTGAATTTAAAAATGTTGCTGCATATTATTTTTCTAGAAGGGAAATTCCGAAACAATATTTAAATTTTTTTTGTTTTCTAAAGATATGGGATTAATTCATTGATAAATGACGTTGTCATGAAAATAACTAAAAATGGTGGAAGGAAGATATTAGAAGAAGAGAACGGCCTTCAGTTATGGCAAAAAAAAAAGAAGAAGAAGAAGAAGAAGAAGAAGAAGAAGAAGAAGAATCGCAAAAATGCTTGGGTTGGCTCCAATAATAGGTGAAAATCAAGCTAAATTGGTTCAACTTAAAGTTAGGATTCTGTTGAGATTTTATTGATACTGGTAAACTACTTGCTTAGTATTAGCTAACTACTTGCTTAGTCTTAGCTAATCACTTACTTAGTTTTAGCTAAAATGGTTGAAAGACCTTTGTTAATGTAAGCATTTCACACCATTCAAGTAATATGAAAAACCTTTCTCCTATACAAAGCTTCAATAGGGAAAAGGAAAAACTTCTCAAAGCTGATTTATACTTATTTATGAATCATTGAAGCTTCTTCTGATTCTTTCTGCTCAATTTTCCAATAGGAAATGCAAAGTTTTAGTTTTGTCTTGGAGGCCGTGACTAGAATATTTGGAAAATTTCCAATAGGAAATGCATCTAAGACATATAGGCATTTACATTTTAAACAGACCCAAGAGCTTCCACCAAAGTATCCCTGGGAACTTGCAAGTGGGTAAAAAGGTGGTTGTCATATAAGCTTTCTAAAGGAATTTACGAAGAGCAGATAGCCAATCAGGATCACCTTGGGACTTGGGTCAGAAGGAAAAGGAGGGATTTCACCATGAAAAGGCCACTACAATTCAGCCACCCGTGAGCATGACCCTGGAAAGATAAGAAATCCTCTAACCATGACAAGTAATTGCAACTATTTTGGATTCCTCTTTGAAATTGATTTCATATTGGTATGCCCGTAGAATGGCTGAATAACACAAGTTTCTTTTTGGAATTGCACTTGTAGCTACTTTTCTCGTAAGTTCTCTTACATTTTCAAGAAATTTACTTCTCTAACTCCTCTCTTTCTTTCTGGATAAGAGATGTCTATATTAAGCAAGAAGTAATTACAAAAGGAATGGGAAAGGGGGGACTAAGTGTTTGCCCTGACCAGCAACGATGCACTTCAATAAACCAGAATTGGAGTATGTGGTAATGACAGCAAGTCCTATTAATAGCCTAAACAGAATCATCGTATCCAAACTTTTGAACAAAATAATGCATCTAAACTTTCTTTCTTTGCTTATTTGTGTCTAATAGATATGATGTCAACGAATGACCTCTTAATCTCAGCATAGTTATTGCTGATTTAATATGTAGAAATTCACCAAAAGCGCTTGTATAATTATCTGTAATACTAAATTTGTTTCTTGTTTCTATTTTAGGGTGTTCATCCTTCTATCAAGGGTGCGGTTTGGGAGTTTTTGTTGGGTTGTTTTGATGTTGACAGCACATTTGAAGAACGGAATGGAATTAGACGACAACGTAGGTATATTTCTTTTCTTATTTTATATTTGACTTGTAGAAATAGGAACTAGAGAAGCAAGGGCTTGTTGGTTGGTTGACGAGAACAGCCTTTGGGCAAGTAGAGATGTGTGAAGATGTCCTGTTGCCATAAGCTATTTTGGGGCAATTTGTGTCACGTTTAGGTAAGTGACAAATATTTTGGATTAGCTGGGACAAGAACCAGATCAATATGCTGAGGTAGAATTTATACATAAAAAAAGGTTCAGAGTAAAAAATGCTGGAAAAGGAATGGGTCTTGAATGAATAAGTGGAGGATATTGAGATGGAGCCTTGAAGATTTAGAACTGAATACTAAATGCTTATTACAAACACGTGCATATTATTTTATAGTATTTTTCTCAAATATCTGCATATTACAATTTTTTCCCCACGTAGTTGGTAGTTTTTCCAATCACTCTTTGTTTCTCTTCATGAAGAACTTGTTGATACGTATCCTATTTCTTGTTCTGCTCATCTTGCTAACATTCTTGTGTTCTCCCGTCGATTTCTTAGGGGAGCATGATAATTTCTTGTACATTTATGATCTTAGGAAGCAGGATGACGCTTTTTTTAATGAGAAATATTGAATTTATTAAGGGAGCAATATGGTGTGTGGAAAGATGAATGTCAAAGGATGGTCCCTCTTATTGGTACTGGAAAGTTTGTTACAGCGGCTATCATCACCGAGGATGGACGGCCAGTAGAGGAGGAAATAAGCTGCAATTTACAAGAAATAGATATCGTTGGCTCTCGGGATGGAGGAAACCCTTCTGGCTTGGACAAGAAAGTTACCGAATGGAAGCTAACCTTACATCAGATAGGTATGAATTTGATCAACACTTCATATATCAATTCTTATAAATAAGGTGGTTTGATTTATTTATGTTCATTCTTACCTTTTTTGCATTATTCGTTTTGAGGCTTTGATTCTCTCTCCTCTCTAAGAATAGAGAGTAGAGAAATATTTTGATACGTAAAAAATAATTAAAAGGTATTGAAGATATGTCCAGGCATGTGCCGAACATGTGTCTGAGATGCAAAAGGAAGCGTGTGCTCTTTTATTATTTTTTAATTTTGGATATTTCATGGACACGTGAGATGTTTAAAAAAAACACATTTATGCACTCCAAGGGCAACCCATTCACAAGTAAGGAAAAAGCTAATTTGAGAGAGCCCATTTATACACTACAAATGGGCTGCCCTAAACAAACAAAGTGAAATATTGCTGTAATTGAAACCCTTAAAAAATGATTCAATGGGCTTAACTTGTTTATATTTAGTGAGGTAGATTTTTTTAAATGGTAAATTTACATGTTTGATCTATTTTGAAATGTTGATTGCATCTATATATATATATATATATATATATATATATATATATTCTAAGAAAAGAAAATCCTAGCCTGTCATGTCTGTGCTTCTTATATATATATATATATTCTAAGAAAAGAAAATCCTAGCCTGTCATGTCTGTGCTTCTTTTGAGGAAAGTAATCATTTATACAAGCGAAAAGAAATTCTAAAATCCCAATACTTTATATTTTTTGAAAAATAATTTATAAAGAATTTAATTTATTCGAAAGATAATTAATTTCTTCATTCTTTTTAAAATATATATTTTTTAAAATTCCCAACCAAATGGCACAAAACAGCTTTAATTATACAATTTCAAAATACCTTTTTTACAACTTTTCTTACAAAAGCATTCCAACATGAGAAAATAAACATCTCTGAAAATCCTATAGCATACATCAAACTGGAAGTGGAGTTTGCACCATAACTTATAAAAGACATATCATCAAAATAATCGACAAGAAAAGAGTTGATTAACTGCCTTACACAATGAACCTTAAAGAGTATAATAATATGGTGATAAAGAACAAAAGGCTGTTCACTTGATGTTCAATATTTTCAAAACCATTCCATAAAAGAATGAGCTTCTGGAGGAATCCATTTAGACCGAACAAATTATTAACCTTCAAGAATTAGAGATGAAAAATCCATAGCAAGGCAGTTCTTTGGTCCTTATTTCTCCAGTTTGCGGACCTCACAACCACAACACACTGCAATCAAGATAAGTAATTCATTTGGTATATTAGGTGCGATGCAAATTGCAATAATTTGTTGTTTGTGTATCAGAGTATATTTGTAGGTAGCCATTTCACGTTTAAAGGAAGAAGTAGATACTTGTCTGAGCATACTACTGTTTTGGCCTTCAAATATGTCACATTACCAAGGCTTAATAAAAATTATATATTCAATGTTTTTGGTCATTTATTTACCTCATTTTTTTTATAAGTTGTGCTTAACTCAAGCTATAGAATTTGGCTTTCAGGTTTGGATGTAGTTCGCACAGATCGAGCTCTTGTATTTTATGAAAATGAAGATAATCAAGCAAAACTTTGGGACATTCTTGCAGTTTATGCTTGGATAGATGGTGAAGTTGGTTACATGCAAGGCAAGTTTTTTTTTTTTCTTTCCTCTTTTTCCCCCCACTTTTTGAAGCAAGACAGAATATTTAAAATAAAATGAGTAGTTCACAAGGCATCCCCTTTGAAGAAATTAAGAGCATATCATCCCAATTTTCTTTTATCAAATGGAAGTTCTTCTGATGTACATATTCCATTTTGAAGAAGTTTTGATGGATTATATGTGTTGGCAGGGATGAATGATATTTGCTCACCGATTATAATTCTGCTTGAAAATGAAGCAGATGCTTTTTGGTGTTTTGATCATGCAATGCGAAGACTGGTGCGCACTATCTTATCTTTCTACTTTACTTTTGTAGTGACAATAATATGCTGCCTTTATTAAATAAATCATTCCTCGAAGATAAGCAACTAAAAAGAACATTCTGTCAAAGGAAAGGATACAGGCATCTTCAACAATAAGGGACAAAATGAAGATCTATTCCAACTTTTTGGAGAAGTTGGGATTTCTTTACTCAAAGTAAAATCTAAAGTATGAAATGGTCGAGCATAAGTTTTGAAGTTTTGATTTTGTGAACAATTGCTTTTCGGGTTGCTAATTTTCTGGTGAAGTGTTCCTGATGGAGCTTCTTCCTTTTGTCTACAACCAAAAGTGTAACAAAGAAGGTTCACATTTGGTCGCACTTCCCTCTAGTAATTATGATTTGTGTTCCTTAAAGGATAATTTCATCTTTTTTGGGGTTTTGAACGTTTTCCCAGGCAGATCTGCCCTTTTTTCACTGTACAATTCATTCCACTAATGTGATGCTATTAAAGGTACGTTAGATGAGGAATCTTCGGAGTTCAGTGATGATTCAATTGTTAGCCTCAATAGCATTGCTTCAAATTCGGAAGGGTATCAAGATGATCTTGAAATTTGGTCTTTTCTTTTTTCTCCTAATGGAAATTCTTCTATTATTAGTGATAAGCACATCATAAAGGAAGCTTCTTACGAATTTTTATATATCATTATTGAAGATCTTTGGAAATGTTTTAAGCTTGCTTAAATCTCCTTGTCTGTGTAGGGGTTTGACTTAATATTCCTTGTGGTGTTCAGTAGCTTTGTAGGAAGTGGTAGCAGGCCCCTTTGCTGAAATCTTCACGGTTGTGTTGTTTTATTATGGGATAGTTTTGTTGTTTGAGCAGTTTTTTTTTTTTTTTTTGCTTATGGGAAAGGTGGGGAGCTCTTGACAGGAAGCAGTTTGTTTATTTACCCACAGTACAAGCCAAGGAGAGTTTTGAGAGCTCCCCACCTCTCGGTCTCCCTCTTCTCAACGGAGAATACCTAAAGGAGTTACCCAAAAAGTTACAACTCACCAAACAGCTATTCCCCTATATTTCCCAATTGGCACGACCTGATGCCTCTAACTAACAAAATACTATGGGCTCTACAACAAGCTTATGTAACCGTCCCTCTCACATATACCCTATTGCAATCACTTGTGAACCCTGCATGGGTTATGACAAATGTAATCATTTATCGACATACTTTAACACTCTCCTCACTTGTGGGCTTAGAAATTTGCAGAAGACCCTGTTAGACCCTCAGTAACCAAAACATATTCTAGAAGGGGTAGGAAGGGAATTGTACTAGGAAGAGGAGAATAATCAAGGGAGTGAGGGAGAATAACAGCCTGGAGAGAGACTGTGGGCCCAGGGTCGTGAGGTTGGTGAGAGTATGGTAGAAATAGACTTGCGAGAGGGGGATAGAGGGATGGTGGAAATTATTAGATCAAGGTGGCTGTAGGGAGAGTTACCCACCCTCTCGAATTGGTGGGGTGTTGCTTGTAATCGCCTTCGGGCTCTTTGTTGAATTCCAAAAGCATTGTGAGGAGATACCTCACAAATTGGTATCAGAGCCGTTCGAGCTTGGGGAATTGAATCGAAGATGACGGTGAAGGAACTTGAACTGCGGTGCGGTGCTATGCGATAGAGAAGGAGATCGCCGATATCAAAGGCGCCATTACTAGCTTGTGTGGGAAGGTGGATGAACCGCGGGCGATGAGCGAGCGAATCTAATCGATGTTAGAAGGATTTATGTCGGAGATAATTGGCGGAAAGGCTTCCTCACGCGTGAATCGTCGATTCCGAGAGATAAGCAGACGGAGGAGCCGACGAGGATTGTCCAGATTAACGAACGAGGATATGACCAAAGCAAATTCAAGAAGGTAGAAATGCCAATATTCATCGGTAAGGATCTTGACTCATGGTTATTTCGTGTCGAAAGGTACTTTCAAATACATAAACTCACTAATGAGGAGAAGTTGGTTGTCTTGGTAATAAGTTTTGATGGGGTAGCACTGGCGTGGTATCGTTACCATGAAAAGAGAGATCGATTCACCGGCTGGGAAAGTTCGAGGACAAGGCTACTGGATCGATTCTGAAAGTCGAAGGAAGGCCGACAATGTGATCGCCTGCTGTCGATCAAACAAGAAGGAAACGTTGAGGAATATCAGGAAGCATTTGAACCCTTATTGACGACTTTACCCCAACTTCCCAATGAGGTGTTGGAATCGGCTTATCTCAATGGGTTGGACTCGATTTTACGGGCAGAGGTTCTGGCTACAGAACCCATTGGGCTAGACCAGATAATGTGCAGAGCCCAATTGATTGAGGACATCGCCACAACAGCTCAAGGTATAGGGGAAGCTGCGACTGACCGTCTCACGAAGAGCAGTGCTATCGGCGGAAAACCGACGGCGAAGACAACAGAGGTAATTCCCACACGAACGGTTACCCTGGCGAGCAAACCAGGGACGACAATGCCCTCTAATGTGGGAGCAACAACGAAGAAAGAAACAACCTATAAACAGTTAACGGAGGAAGAGTATCGCAAGTGCAAGGAAAAAAGACTATGTTTTTGGTGCGACGAAAAATACACCCCGGGTCATCGGTGTAAGAACCAGCAGTTGCGAGTGTTCATGGTTCGCGATGAGGAGTTAATGATGCTGGAGGAAGAAGATAGCACGATACAAGAAGAAATAGTACCAGAAGAGACAGGGAAGGCCGTTATGTGCAGATTGAATACGGTGGTTGGATTAACCACTCCAAGAATGATCAAATTGAAGGGGGCATTGAAGGGCAAAGAAGTAGTGGTCCTCTTAGATTATGGAGACACTCACAATTTTATCTCACAAAAATTAGTTGATGAACTCCATATCCCTCAATTAGAAACGTTCAATTACGGGATCATTGCAGGGACAGGGGCCGCTGTCAAGGGGAAAGGAATATGTTGTGGGGTGGTGATGGAACTGCCTGAAGTCATCGTGGTTGAGGACTTCCTTCCCATAGAACTCAATGACTTGGATGTGATATTGGGCATGAAATGGTTGCAGGCCATGGGCAAAATGGAGGTAGATTTGCCAGCACTAACTATGACCTTTACACGCGAGATAAGTGCATAGCTCTCAGGGGTGATCTCGCGCTTAATCGAATGGAGGTTACCCTCAAACGACTAGCACGGGCATGGGAACCCTTAGACCAAGGCTTCCTAGTGGAACTACGAGCTTTGTCAACTCAAAACGATCCTCAGGGAACCGTGCAGGAAGTGATAAGGGAGGAAAGGCCAGAGATGATTGAAACACTCTTGGTCGAATATGCGGATGTGCTCCAGAGCACTGATGACCTGCCTCCACCGAGGGCAGTGGACCACCAGATCCAACTCAAAGAGGGTGAACCCCCTGTGAACGTCAGGCCATACCGATATGCCCATACACAGAAGGCAGAAATCGAAACTATGATCGCAGACATGCTCCAAAAAGGGATTATACAGGCCAAGTATTAGTCCCTATTCTAGCCCAGTCTTCTTGACGGCAGCTGGAGGTTGTGTGGATTATAGGGTACTAAATCAAGCTACAATCTCGGACAAGTTCCCAATTCCTGTCATCGAAGAATTGTTAGATGAGTTGCACAGGTCGCAAGTGTGTTCCAAAATTGATCTGAAGTCGGGATACCACCAGATCAGGATGGCACCCGAAGCTGTTCCAAAGACTGCTTTTTACACTCATAAGGGTCATTACGAGTTCCTCATGATGCCTTTTGGGCTCACCAATGCACCGGCAATGTTCCAGTCCTTGATGAACCATATATTTCGGCCTTATCTACGTAAGTTTGTTCTGGTCTTCTTCGATGATATCCTTATATACAGCCCTAACCTTGATTCTCATGTAACTCATCTCACTCTGGTCTTTAATGTGTTGCGAGATAATTCCTTGTGTGCCAATCTTAAAAAGTGCCATTTTAGCCAAACGAGAATCGAATACTTGGGGCACTGGATCTCGGTAAAAGGCGTGGAGGCAAAACAGGCTAAAATTCAAGCTATGCTCCAATGGCCAATTCCCTCAAATGTTCGGGAGTTACGAGGCTTCCTTGGTTTAACCGGCTACTACTGCAAATTCGTATTAAACTATGGAGTCTTGGCTAAAATGGCACCCAGCTGCTAAAGGACTCTTGCGAGTGGAATGATCAGGCTACAGAGGCTTTTGACGGCCTAAAAAGAGCAATGTGTTCCTTACCTGTATTAGCCTTGCCAGATTTCAATTTGCCGTCTGTTATAGAAACTGATGCATCAGGTACGGGTTTGGGTGTAGTTCTAATGCAGGAGCAGAGGCCTATTGCCTACTTTAGCCACACCTTATCCTGACATAGCCAAGCAAAGTCCATGTATGAACGCGAACTCATGGCAGTGGTAATGGCTATACAGAGGTGGCGTCCATATCTGCTGGGGCAAAGATTTATAGTTCGCACTGACCAGCAGGCGTTGAAGTTTCTCTTGGAGCAGCGTATAGTGCAACTGGAGTACCAATGTTGGGTGTCCAAGTTATTGGGCTATGACTTTGACATACAATATAAACCGGGGTTGGAGAACAAGGCAGCTGATGCCCTCTCTCGGATGCCACCAGGACCGTACCTTGGAGTTACGTCTCCTACCTTGCTAGACGTGGAGTTGATTAAATCCGAAGTTTAGGCTGATCCCCAACTGACTAAGATCATGGAAGACCTGCTCCAAGATCCAGACAGTCACCCTGTTCACTTTATGGCAAGGGGAGTTGCGGTATAAGGATAGGATGGTGATATCCAAAACATCCTCTCTTCTACCCTCAATCCTACACCTCTACCATAACTTTGTATTGGGGTGACATTCGGGATTTTGTGCACTTACAAGAGATTATGTGGATAGCTGTTTTGGCATGGGATGAAAGCCGACACAAAACGATTTGTGGAAGAGTGTTGTGTTTGTCAGAGGAACAAGACCTTAGTGATGTCTCCAGCAGGGTTGTTACAACCACTCCCTATTCTGTATCGCATTTGGGAGGATATCTCTATGGATTTCGTTGAAGGACTTCCTAGATCCCATGGATATGACACCATTTTCGTGGTTGTCGACTGACTGAGCAAATATGCTCACTTCATTCCTTTGAGTCATCCCTTCACGGCTAAGTCAGTGGCGGCTGCATTCATTAAGGAGGTGGTGAGGCTCCATGGATTTCCTCATTCCATTGTATCGGATCAGGATAAGATTTTCCTATGCAATTTCTGGACCGAACTATTTCGCATTCAGGGGACTAAGTTGAAGCGAAGCACCGCCTACCACCCACAAACGGATGGCCAGACGGAGATCGTCAACCGATGCTTGGAAACCTATCTAAGGTGTTTTTGTGGCGAGTCACCAAGAACTTGGGAACAGTGGATTCCTTGGGCAGAATACTGGTACAACACAACTTTCCATGGTTCTTTGGGTACTACACCCTTCCAAGTAGTGTACGGAGGTTTTCTGGGCCCAAATAAAAAGGCCCAATGCCCATGAGTAATTTAAAAAAAAAAACAAATAAAT